AACGATCTGCCTGTTCTGTTCCGGCCAAGGAGGTCGTCTGGGAACTCTTTGTCTGTCCTGTCACGGCTATAGAGGCCGTTTACGAACTCCGTGCTTGTCCTGTCACGGCTATGGAGGTCGTCGGGGAATCCTCATCCTGTCCTGTCACGGTTATGGAGGCCGTTTGTGAACTTTTGTCTTGTCCCGACCCAGCCAGGGAGGCTGCCCCTGAACAGTCGGTCTTGTCTATCAACCCCAATGTTCTGCCTTGCTTGTCCTGTCACGGCTATGGAGGCCGTCGGGGAATCCTCATCCTGTCCAGTCACGGTTATGGAGGCCGTTTGTGAACTTTTTCACCGTTTGATCTGATCTTTGCCTGTTTTCCTGGTTTTTTTCCCTCTCGTCTCGCCCCTGTGATTCTGTCTGCCGATCGGTGACCTACACTAGCCCTAGGACTATTCTTGTGTTTTGCCCGCCATATACCTGTTTGCCATTGTTTGACCCTGCCTGTTTACCACGTCTCTCTATTAAAAGCTTGCAGATGGATCCACAAGTCTCACGTCTCGTCAGCCCCGTTACAGATGTACTATTAGTCCATTGCCACGTCACAAATTGTGACGTCTACACGATGTAGATTTTAAACTCGGAAGATGAAAATAGCGCGAAAAATCGTAAAATTAACCAGTTTTCTCCAAAAGTTCAAATGATGTCATATGCTAACATTGTCTTCTATGATGTGCAACACAAACACCTCTGCTAAAATCTCAGAAAAAGTATTCTGGAGTTTCATGACCCTTTAAACTGAATTTTGGAGGTTTCAAACTCGCGGGTACCATAGAGGTCCACTATATGGAGAAGATTCCTGAAATGTTTTCCTCAAAAAACATAATTTCTTTACGACTGACAAAAGAAAGACATGAACATCTTGGATGACAAGGGGGTGAGTAAATTATCTGCAAATTTTTGTTCTGGAAGTGAACTTCTTTAAGTGCCACATCTCAATGTGCCTAGAACAAATCGACTCCAAATTCAAGTAATAGTAATACCTGCCTTAGCAAACACTAATAATATTTGCTCTTTATAACTTAAAGACATCTATTCCAACTAAAAGAGTCTCACATTGTCATTGTCTGATGTGTCGCCCTGAATTTCACTACTCTTCCTTCTCTGTTGTGCAGGTCTAGCAGGCATGGACTTCACTGACTTCTCCATATTTTCTTTCTCTTGATCTGCAGTCCTGGGCTCCAGTGAGGAGCCTCTCTGGGCTGTACCCTGCTGCTCCCTCACCACCTCCTCCAATCTCTGAGTGAGCTGGGTGTGCAGCTGCTTGTGGGTCAGGGCTCTGGATGCACACTGTGCCGGGGACAGACGCTGAGGAGGGGGATGAGAACTACCATCTGGAGATGATGACACAGAATGCAAGGTTACACAAAGCCACCTGATTCATATAGTGACAAACTATCAGGAGCAGTGTTTCCTAAATTCAAGATTTGAAGCAGGGAAATTAAGTAAACAATCTGACAGATTCAGTAAGTAAATAATTAGACTGATTCAGTGTTTAACTGATTCAGGATAAAAACATTTAAAAAAAAAAAAAAGAGTAATTCTTTCATGAACTGAATTACACTTGCCTCCCTGAATAGTAGTGCAAAGAATAAAACATAACCAATGGGGGAGTAATAATGAGAGTAAATGATTATATTTTATTATGTGAGAATGAGACTGCACAGTGATAAGAGACCTGGAACTAGCACAGCTATGTAGGAAACTGGTTCAAATAGTCAATTATAGTATAGAGGTCATAATAATACAAAAATATTTTACTACGGAATGCCGGGATTGACCAATCACAATTATGTATTCAAGAGTCACCTATTGTAGTTTATTCTTTGCTGATAAAACATACCTTCCATATCTGTTAACTCACCTGATATAGTGCCGTTTTTAGAGCAATCATTTTGCAGAGCCAGCAGTGATCCGGATACAGAGATTCTCCTTTTACTAGAGTTC